TGAAGGAAACGGGAAAAGAAAATGGTAAGAGTAGCTAACTGTAGCAAAACAGCGTGGGTACTACAAAAAGGATACAGCCTCTCCCATGAGTGGGGTTTAGCAGGAGCCACAGAGGCCGAAGCCAGAAGCAAGTCAGGAATCACACAGTGAGAGGTGCTGAGCTTCCCCCTGAGCTGGTGAAACTCTACTGGGAATTTTTTATGTACTAGTTACAGACTTTTTCTTTCCCCCAGATGTACATTCATAGCTACCCAGAATGCAAAAAGTCTGAAAACCGCTGAAATGGAACAGGTACCACTGAAATGGGGGATAGCGTGTCTGTTAAACATCTCCTGGCTTGCTAGGCTTTTCTTTACCCTGCCATGACATTTTCTATATCCTCTGTTATTAGAAGTCACACCTTACTGATGCTGCATTTTTCAGTTTTTAGTTCCTGTGAGACAGGGATCAAACGTGGCAGTGGCTTTCAGGTTGGGAACGCCTGGGCTGTGCCGTAGCCCGGGCCCCTACGCCAGCTCCGGGAGCTGCTGCCGCACAGGGCAACCAGGGCGATCTCCGCTTGGGCCTCACTCAGCCCTACGCGGCGATGGGGAGATCCCGCACACCGGAGTTTTGTTCAAGTATCTCGTTTCTGTTCCTCGTTTTCTGGGTGCTCGTTTGGAGATGGTCAAGGTTTGCAGTGCAGGAAAGCGGAATGCTTACCTTTATCATGAAAAAGAACTTATCTTTAAACATGTACTGTAACGTAGCAGGACACTGGAAAATCAGACCTAATGCACTTAGAACTATGATTATTCTGAGTTTAATAAGCATGGCAACTATCTTTAAGACAGAGTTGTTAATGTGATTTGATCCTACCTGTGTGATCACATAATGTTCTGTGAATACACACTCATTAAAATGTTTAAAGCCTGAAAATATATAGAAGGGTTCCCAGGAACACTATATTCCCCACAGAAGATAAAATGTAGGTTAATAAATGCACCTGTCAATATATTGGATGAGGATAACACATCTTCCCCTTTCAAGAAACATGAAATGTAAATGCAGTATTTTGATTTCCGAGACTGATTATTTAAAATGAAGACTACCTTCTCTGTTGTATTGCAGGCATCACAAAGGTGCCTAAAGCACGCCTTGCAAAGGGGCTTGCCTTGCTTCCCCACGCCTTTCTCTGCACTGCAGCACCTGCCTGTACCGTCTGAGGGTACACTTACTACTTGTGCTCCTCCGAACCGAGCCACCGGCGATTTCACAGACTACAAGCCTTTTGTAAACAGATCTGGACTTGCTCTGAGCAATCTTCCAGCACTGCATTAAAGGCTCCTGGCCATTGCCATCACACTCATCCTTCAGCACTCCTTATCCATTATCACAGAACCACAGAATGGTTTGGGTTGGAAGGGACCTGAAAGCCCACCCGGTTCCAAGCCCCCTGCCATGGCAGGGACACCCCCACCAGACCAGGTTGCTCACAGCCCCATCCAACCTGGCCTGAAACACTGCCAGGGAT